AAAAAACTCAATTATATAAAAAGAAAATAACTTTTTACTTCATAGCAAAGAGTATCATAAAGTCAAAAGAGAAAGTGTGAGAAAATATTTGACATTCCTATTACAAACAAAAGGTTTATACCCTTATGATATAAAGAGCTGCGACAAAATCAATAAGAGAAAGACCATCAAACGGGCAAAGGAAATACAGAAAAGAAAATACGACTGGCCCTTAAACATATGAAAAGATGCACAACCTCACTTACATGAAGAGAAATGCAAATACGTGATACCATTTTTTAACCTATTAGATTCGCAAAGATAAACATGTTTGATGACAAACACATAGGGAACTCAGCATTCTTCTACATTGCCAGGGGAAGTGTAATTGATATGACTTCTAAGAAAGGGAATCTAGCCTCCAGCATCTATCAAAATTATAAATGCACACACTTTGACCTAAAATTCCACTTTTAGAAATTCATCTATAAATGTGCTTGAACGTAGGTAAAATGGCTTGTGCAATGTTGTACAATGCTATTCATTGTAGCATTGTTTGTAATTGCAATGGATCAGAAACCACCTAAATCTGTAGGGAAATGGTTAGGTAAATTATGGTACATTTATTCATGCAATAGAATATTAAGCAGTCATAAAAAAGATTAAAGAAGTTCTTAATATACTGATAGAAAATTATTGCCAAAATGTACTGTTAATGAAAAAGCAAGGCATAGAACACTTTGTATAGTATGCTGGCATTTATGTAAAAAAGGGAGGGAAATATTAGATAGGTATTTGCTTGTAAATGCATACACTGTATCTGGAAGGATGTCCAAGAATTTAGTAATATTAGTTGATTGTTGAAAGGGGAACTGAGATGGGAAGGGAAATAACCATAGTACATCTTTTTTGCCTTTGCATATTGAAACATATGAACAAATTACTTACTTGAAAATAAATGAATAAAAATTAAAACGAATAAAATTATGAAATCATAGAGCAAGGAATACACTGACCTTTAACTCAGTCATCAAATTGAAGAAAATGTTAATTTAGAGGTACTTCTGGAGTCCTGATTCAATTTTTGGATAAATAAAAGGAAGCACAATGTTATTAAGTGGCACTGTCCGTTTATGGCATTCATTGCCCTAAGAGTGATGTGATTAGAAAATTCTAAGTATAAGTAGAATCAAGAAGGGTGATATAAGTTCATGGATACTATTTAATGATTTTTTACCTTTAAGGGAAAGAAAAAGTGTTGGGACACATCTCTGATCTCAGAAGATGATGCCACAGAATAAGGAAAGCTGCTCCACATAAATTCCCTGATGCCACCGTCAGCCAGATGTGAGCTGGAATTCTGTCCCTTAGCCACTTTCTCTGGTGAGTTGTAGAGCCACACACTATACAGTCTGCACATGCTACCTATCATGGCTCTAATTTCCACCTAAGACTGAAAAATTCTCTGCCTAAATGTCCACAGTGAAGTGAATTGAATTGTGACTAAACTTCATTAGATCTAAGCTATTTGAACCCAGGGGGATTATTTCAGGTTTTGTATAGTTTTCACTTGTTTTGTGCTTCTAATATGTTCTCCATTTCAGGCAGCCTAGGACTTGCACGTATAACTTGAGGATATCTTAGGCGACTTGGCTCAATCAATATTATGCAACCAATCAATACTTGTTGAGCATCAACTATGTCCAGGGATCGTGGAGAATGAGTAAGACATTCGTAAGCTATGATGGCTTCGGGAAGGCCATAGAGTCTAGAAGAAAGGTCAAGATGGTGTGTCCTGGAGAGCATTAGCTCTATGCTAGGCTGGAAAGCATGGAGTCTTAGAACGCTGGACTGTGGAGTTCAGGTGAGTCATACACTATTCAATCTGTGTTTTCATTTATATGCCCCTTGGGGAACTGTTTCATAGAGAAATAAGAGATGTAAACAGAGATAATTTATGCTTATTATCTTTAAACATCCAAGTAACATAAATGGTGAAGGAAAACAGAAATGTAAGCGTGAACAGTGTCCCATGTTGTTTGTGGTTGGCTCATCAATGTGGGGAAGCAGCGCCACCTTGAGGCCAACGATATGCTGTCTCTGTGCATCCCCAGCCTCTGTAGCTTGACTGGTACAAGAGGCATCTGCATTTGAGCACACAGACATTTCAACACTGGGGTTTTCACATATTCTATCAATGATGTTGGGCTGAGGTGGAGAGGGGATGGGGGAAAGATCTATGGCAAGAATTTGGACAGAAAAAGCCTTGTTTTAGAGCACTGCACTCTAAAATGTTCAGAGCCCCTTCGATCTGCTTTTTAATTGGGCTTCTCTTCCCATTCTCAATCACTTTGGTGCTCTTTTATACTTTTTTGTCTGTAAGGTGAAGTTATTTGTAAATCTAAAGGGAAACTAATGTACTTAACAACTGGTCGTGGATTTTAGGTTATTTGCTCAATTGCTGGCCAAAGCAACCTATGGAAATAAAAATCAGCACTTTCACAGTTTAGAAAGAAGCAATTTAAACATTTTGAGTCAGTTGGAGAATTGTGGGAGGGCGTTACTGAAAGTAATCTGCCTGAGCACTACATATTTATTAGTAGAAAAGACTCTGAGTGCCGAGGCATGAGCATCAGGTAAACTAGCTGGAAAAATGAGGCAGGAGGAGTAGAGAGGGAAGGAAGTGAGCAGATGTAGGGACTGAGGAGAGAGAGGGAAAGAAAACAGGGAAGAAAAGAATTACGGGAAGGGAAAGATACAAGGCAAATGAAAACAAGAAGTGGAAAGGGCAGAGGTAGACAACAGCCAGGTTAGAACTTATCCAAACCCAAGCAAACCCAACCCAAGGCTGGCTGACATGAGATGGTGCCAGGCACCAAGGACACAGCCACATATTTGTTGTTGGGCTGGTGCCTGATGAACGGTGCCTTGGTTCCTTATCCACTCAGGTCTATGATTTTGATCCCGATTTCCTCAAGCCCAGAGCTGTCTCAGGGATCTCCCATTTCCCAGGACTTCCCCTGCAGAAACTGTGATCTTCACCTGGCTTTGAAACTAAACTGTGAGGGCACTCCAGAAGCGTGGACCAAGATAAGCTTGGGGTACGTCCAAAGTGGAGCCCCAGGCAATTACATTGCACGGGGCCAAAGGGATTCTTAGGAATTCAATCAGGCAAATAATTTTTAGTTATGACCAATAATCTGTTGAACTTGGCTCACGAAATGAGATTGCAGCTCTGGTTCTTGCTAAAAGGCATTATGATAAAACTAATTAAAATAGAAGTTAATTAGTTAAAATACATCATCTATGAAAATGGGGAAAAGAGGGAACCTATTAAAAATGTTAGGTAAAGAGTGAGACACAAGAGAAACTGCATGCTTTGAGATGCCCAACCCTCTGTCACTTTTCTCTCTTCTAGTGGAGTTATGCATGTTACGGGTATTGACCTCAACCTCACAACTTTAAAAATCAACAAAAGGCAAGTAACACTCATGGCGAGAAAATAGCAATGCTCCGTGCGCTGCCGAGCATGCTTCTAAGTTGTTGCGGCATCTCTCCAAATCTTTCTGACTTCTACACCTGTCCACTTTTGCCTCTCCGAAGGGCTCTTGAGTGGATTTTACCTCTCAACAGTGCCCCCCAAGCATCGAGGTTTGAGATTTCTAGAGAAAGCCCCAATCCGTCCTGGAAACATCTGTAATGCCCCAAGCACCGGACTTGAGAAAGAAGTGTGGTATACCCTTGCAGTGAGGCAGGTGTGAATTGGAATTCTGGTTCCGGCACCTACAAACCCTGTGATCTTTTATTATATACACTAAGCTTCAGGTCTGAAGATAAAAATACACCATGGGACTGACACATAGTAAATGGCTTTTGTGTTTTAACCCACCTCACTCAGAATCTAACTTTGGAAATCAAAAGCCATCTTACCAGCACATGCTGGGGGTACTGTGCCTTTGGTTTCCTGCTATTTGTGTTATATTTATTTGTGTTATATTTCATACACTTGTGTAACTCTGGGCCACATGGCCCCAGGCAGCATCACTGATGTCGTTTCAATGTTAACAGACTACCTTTAAGTGACTAAACATAACTGACATTTCCAGAAATGACCAAAAACACTTAAAGGATAAAATCATTCATACCCGCTTCTGTGCCAAAAGTGCCTCTTGGCATTTGCATCTTTTTTTCAGCAATTCATCCTGACTATCCCCGACTCTTTCCACCAAGATGATATTGTGACATGGTCAGTATAACCCAGGCTGACATTCAGCTAAGATACATCAGTTGAGCCAGTCATTTTCAAGCGGCATCCATTCTGATTCAGTCCCTAGGCTGTTACTGTTAAATTACTATCTCCTCTGAGCTGATAGACGGCAAATTTTGAACACATCCATTCTTGTGACTATAAAATACGAAACTCCAGAATTTTCCCCAACACTACAGTTGTGAAACGGATGTTAAGAAGGATTTTACAAAAAAGCATTGCAGTATCACTTTTGCTCTCATTTTAAAGTTTGTAAGTGATTCTACCTACCTTGACTACCTCTAATATCTATTGCTTAGCTTCTCTTAACTCAGGGCCCTCTGAATGGCCTGCAAGCTTCTGAAGCTTTAAAGCAGGAATTCAGTCAGGGATGGGGGGAAAGCACACAAGTTGCTGCAAGCAGGCAAGGGAAAGAAATTGATTTGAGGTGGAAAGAAGTTTGGAAGCTGGGAAGCAATGACAGCGGCCACTAGGCTAATGTGCACATCCCAGTTCAGGTGTCTGGGCAGTGACACTGCAGGGTACAGCTGCATCCGGAGGGCTAAGGAGCCACCCCAAAGCTGCCAGCAGTGCTCTGGCATCATTAATGACTCTCTCCTCTTCTCTACCACCTTATATTTGAATAAAGTAGTTTTATAAACCTTCTGTACCAAAATTCTTCTTGTCAAGAGTATGCTCACCTGGTGGGAAAACAAACAGGAAATCTTTCCTCTTAATTAAGTATACCCTCATAAGTATTAAAGAGTCAGGAAAATAAATTATTCAACACTGACATTTTATTTTCTGAACTTTATCATTTTTACAAAACAAAAAGCAGGTATCAAAAACAGCAGAGAGTTTACAGAATTTCTGCACCAGTTTTCACATAAGTCAGTGATTATGAAACTGGTGTCCACTGTAAATACTAAACACAGGCTGATTTTTCTCTTGGTCATATGCGTTCAGGCGGCTTCTTTTGGAGCTACTGAGTAATAACTTTTTATAAGCACCGGTCATTTGTTGACAACTGATTTGGTTAGTCCAACGAAGTAAACACTTTTTCCTGCGTGGCATTTTCTTTTTTTAAAAAACACTGAGCTAAAATACAGAATGTGTATGTGTTTGGATCGGAACCAAATCTTCTGAGATCCCAATTACCCTGAAGAACACTGAAGACATTTATAGGGCATATTAAATACTACTTATATACCTCATAATGTCTGAGGCAGCTACTGTGTTTCTACAGAAAACAGCATTTCATTCAGAAGCTGCCCAGAGTTTAAACTACATCATAGTTTCCACATCCTTTCTGATTTGGAGTAGTTTCTCCAAACAGGGCCATATTATTGGAACAAAAGTCGTATGCTCACGCCAAACAGGCTCTGGTACTTTACAGATACATTTGTGTAGAGCAAGACTCCTTGCTCTGGACCCTGGGTGACCACGAAGAAATCCAAGAGGCCATGATTATGGGATGCTGAGAGGAAGAGGCATACTTAAACTCACATGATCTGAAGGCAAGCAGAGACAAAGCCGGAACTTGGTAGTGGCATTCACCCAACACTTGTTCCAGAAACACATTTTGCTTAAATAAGGGAAGTATGGTCCAGTTTTGCAATGTTAATAGCTGCCAGTCTCTCAAACATATTTTTTTTTATAAAGATCATTTCCTGGCTAGCAATGAGTTAGGAAACTGGCCTCAAATCCTGATCAATTTTTTCACTATTAGTCAAAAACAAAACCAAAAAACAAAAACACCAGTCAACAGGGGTTAAAAATTGCACAATTAAACTTGAATGTAAATTATATTATATACAGACTGGTATACACGTCACTGAAATAGTTTCGAGAGCAGGAAACACTCCTGTTAAAACATCTCTTCTATATTATCCCAATTTTCATTAAAGGAAAACTGATATGTAATTTTCTTCTTTACAAATATGAAAAAGGAAGCAAGAAGGCAAAGCTGAGAGAAACAGATGCTACCCAAAGGGGAGCAGTGGCATTTGGTTATTTTGGTCTTTGTACCAGCAACTCCGACACCCGCAGGAGACATCCAGTTCCTGCTGGACTACACGGTTTTCCTCGCAGTCAAGACTCGAACAATGGACCCTACTCCTCCGGCAGCAAGTGCCTGAAAACAAACCAAAGTGGAGATGTTGACAGAATCACAAAGGGTCAATTCTCATAACAAGTAAAACATTTTTCTTAAAGAAGGAATGTGTGCAGCTATCGATTTTGAATTCACTAATTTTCATAAATGTTTCCTGAGTACCTATTATGCACCAGGCACTGTGTTCGGAACAGGGGACACAGTAACACACAAAACCTTCCGAGTCCCTGGCCTTGTGCTCTTACACTCTAGTCAGACACCAGTCTACAATCTAGTATGTTGTTTTCGAATAACAATATGTTCTTAAAGATCTGCAGCAAAATCTTCTTGCCTAAAACACCTGCTCAAATATAAATTTAGGACATCTAGTCTGCTCTCATTCTCAGCACTGTCAGGAAGAAATTCAAACTGGGACCAACCATCCTAAGTTCCATTTAGATTAGACAGACTTTGTCAGATTTTTTTTCTCCCAAGCTAAGAATATATTATTTAATAGCTAAGAACTTAGGAACTTTTTGACCTTACCTTGAAAAAATCAGAAGTCATGATTAAGTATTAGGAATTCAAAGCTCTGGTTTACTTGTGTTCAAAAACACTTACTGAATACTTTTGTGCACTGGGTAGTGTGCTAGATGCTGGGGATACAAGAGTGAGCAAATACAGCATCTCCTGCTCTACTGGAAGAGACAGATGCATAAACAGATCATTTTAATATAATATAATGTATGAAATGGCAGAGCTCTGCTTTGGGTGCTATTAGAGCACAGAGGAAGGGCATGTACCCAACCTGAGGGTACAGAGGAATGTGGAATGATCAGGTAAGGCTTCCTGGAGAAAATGATACGTTAAATGGAGAAGTAGGCAAGAGACTGACATAAAAGGGTAAGGAGACACTCAGGCAGAGAGAAAATCATGAGCAAAGGTATAGAGGTATGAAACATTATGGTGTTTTCAGGGAAAGCACATTAATACGCTCACTGCTGAGCATAAGGGGAAGAATGACATGGAAGATGAAGCTGGACTTGGGGACCTGCATTTTATTCTGCAGGTGACTGACAAGGGTAGATTTGGATTTCAGAGAGAGCATTCTGGCTACTGGGAGGAGAAGAGAGATGACAGAGGCAAAACTGGTAGCCAGGAGACTGACCAGTTCAGGAAGCCAGAGGAACAGACTGGGAGAGATGCTGCGGACACTTGCATTATAGATGTGTCTGAGTGGATGATTGGAAAGTACTTAGGGGCCAAGATTGGCAAAACTGGTGACTGATGTTAGGAAGAAATGAAGACTTAACATGTGCTCAGTTTCCCCATCTGCAAGAGGGGGAAGAATAAGCAGGCTTTCCCTCCTAGTATTTTTATGACATTACATGAATTAATATTTATAAAGTGCTTGGAATGTAGGACGTGCCCATCCAATGTTTGTCATGATCCGGAGGCTATACTGGAACTAGGTTGCTTGGGTTTTAAAGCTGGCTCTTCATCTGTAAATTGAGGATGGTAAAGATGTTTATATACCCTGTAGGGTTGTTCCAAGGATAAAAGAAAGAAACTAATAGTACAGTGGCTGGCAAACAGAAAGTGTTCCAGGAATAGGATGACCATATAAATTATTCTCCAAATTGATACACTGTCGAGTGAAAGCGAACTCTTCATAACGATGTTGGGACGACCAGCACAAACTGGGGCTGTCTGGGGAAACTGGGAGGTATGGTTACCCACGCATAAATGCTGCTCTTTTTGTTTGATAGTGTATGAGGGATAAAGTGACTTGACAAAGGCTATAGAACAAGTTTTACTCCCTATTCTTATCTTACACGTGTGTTTTCACTCAGATAGACAGCTTCCGAAAAACTGAGTTTTGGGAATTGTCAGAAGTTAGAGAATATACCCCTTGCCTGTGGTTGGTTTTATTTAAATGTTACATCGTTTATATTTATACCAACATAAGAGTTCAGTATTAAAGATTACCTTACCAACCTTTTACCTAAAGCTAAAAATTCCCCATAGCCATTTTGTTTGTTTGTTTTTGAGGGATAACATACTAGCATCTGCTTATATTGCAAAATAAAATGCACGGAAACAGAAAAAAATATTTAAGAATTCTTGATCCTATCTCTCACTTCTTTTTTTTAAAATTGAGGTAAACTATATAACACACAATTTGCCACTTTAACGATCTTTAAATGTAAAGTTCAGTGGCATTAATTACATGTACAATTGTACAGCTATCATCACTATTTCAAAACTTTTCATCACCTCAAACAGAAATTCTGTACCCAATAAGCAATAATTCTATTCTTCCTTCTCCCAAGCCTTGGGTAATCTCTAATCTACTGTCTGTTTCTGAATTTGCCTATTCTAGATATTTCATATAAACGGAATCACACAGTATCTGTCCTTTTGTGTCTGGCTTATTTCACTTTGCATAATGTTTTCAAGGTTCATTCATGCAGTAGCAGGTATCAGAACTTCCTTTTTTTGGTTGAATAATACTCCATTGTACGTACGTACCACATTTTGTTTATCTGTTCATCTGTCAATGGGCACTTGAGTTGTTTCCACCTTCTGGCCACTGTCAAAGAATTCTTGATTTTTACTGCTTATTTTCTTTTCAAAGTTTTGATTTAGTTCAAAGTTTAAGATTATGTTTAATGAACAATAACCATTACTGAATAAATATGTGTTGCAAATCAGAATCTCTTAAGACCAAGGCTAGTAAGCATAAATCTAAACTTTCATTTTCAGGTAGTTATTTGTCATAACAAAGATGTACAACCAACAAATCAAAATAGTTAGAGGTGAAAGAGGTTGTCGTTGTGATTCTCTCTTATAAAGGAACCAGTCATATGGATTCATAGTGCATAACTTACCTTTTCGTGCCACTGCAATAACACAGCACTGCTATTGTCAGAGGGGCTCTCAAAGCCTTTATAAATATACTTCATGAGGAGATCCACACCATTCTTGTCCAGGGATTGAACTGCCTTTTCAATATCATTAGCTTTAAAAGAGATGAGTACCTTCAAGACAATGCTCCCCGCTCGATCCTAGGGCAAATAAAGAACAACATTTAGACATACGTGTGGGGGGGATTACAGTTTTAGAAAGGCCACATGAGAAGGTGACATCTGAGTTACAGACCTGAAGGACACAAAAGAGGAAACCTTGGGGGTATCAGACAGAGGAAACAACAAGCGCTGTTAGTGTGTGTTCATGGAAGAGCAAAAAGACCCAAGGTGGCTGGAGCAGAGCCGTGGGAGAAGAGGACAGGAACTCAGACAGGCAAGGGGAAGACGGATCCCCACAGCCCTGCAGGCCATGGTGAGGACTCCGGCTTTCACTCAGAGAAAGGAGAAGATGTTGGAAGGTTTTGAGAACAGTGACACAATCTGACACATTTTAACAGGATCACTGTGGCTGCCATGTTAAGCATAAGCTGGGGGGACGAGGGCAGGGGACAAGGCAGAAGCAGGACTAGTTAGGAAGATACTGCAATAATCTAGGCTGGTTTTGGCCAGTATGGTAGCAGCGGAGGGGGTCAGAAGTGGACAGATTCTTGACACATTAGAAGGTAGAGCTGAAAGGATTTGCTTACAGACAGATCCGACAATTTACCAATTTATTAAATCAATATTGAAATTTTACTTCTAGATCTTAACAACAACCTGAACAAGGAAACTGAATAGCAGTTCTAACTGGAACCACTCTTCAGAAATAAGTTATTAATAAATAAAAATTTAAGTTTTTAAGAAAACATTTTAAGTTTCAAATCTATGGTCGTGACTACAGATAGAAGACATAGTGATCTTCATTTACAATGATCTGTTTTCTTTAATAAAGGCTGCTCCAAGAGCAAAGTTATTTTTTTACCCATCAAGCCAAGCAAAGGGAACATTTAATTTACCCTTTCAACAATTCATTTCTCCTTCCATTTAAGATAAATTGATACCTTTGGCATTCCTACTGGTCAGCATTTTACAGAATGTTTCTACCACCTACTGTTATCTTCAGTTTAAAGACTATGCACTTACCCAATTTAGAAAAATATCCTAGCATACAGAGCTACATCTCCCACCCACAAACTGTGATAAAAAACCACCCATATAAAAGCAGAAGGTGGTAAAATCGAAATTTCCATGATGTTCCTCCAACTTTTAAAAACCAAAGAAAATTTTCCCCTTATACAAAAATATGTTGCCTAGATAATTATTACACATTTACTTATTACTTACTACTATTCAGTTAAGATTCTTGGGATTCCTAGGATGTATGAATAGCTACGAATGGAGGGGACCATGGTTTGGGCTTCATTTTAATAAGTAAGTAAATAGGTTCTTAAGAATTACTGAAAGACTGCCACAGGGAATGTAAGCTACACACTTTTCTAAAGGGCAATTTGGCAATATCATAGGTACTGAAAGCCTTAAAAAATGTGCATTCTAAAATCCAGCGATTCACTTCTAGGAATTTATTCAAAGGAAATAATTAAGAATTAACCAAAAATTATTCATTTCAGTACTGTTTACAACAGGAAAAAAAAGGTCAATAATCTAAAAATATGACAAAAGGAGATGAGTTACATATAAACAGCAGCATATCTATATTCAGCCATTAAAAAATGTTATAGAAATAAACCTACTGTCAGGGAAAGATGTCCATGTACATTGCTATCCAGTTGAAAAAGCAGGTTATAAAATTCCATTTTTATTTAAAAAAACACTCACAGAAAAGATCTATAAGCATATAGCGCCACCAAAAAGTAATAACTATTATCTCTGGTTGATGGGATTATGAATGATTACGTTTTCCTCCCCCCTCATCTCTGAGTTTTCCATAATAAATATTTAAGACTCATAATGTAAAAAAATCTTTAAAAAGCAAGCAAGTAGAATCTGTTTATTTCGTGAAAGGTTTGCTTATTCTTCAAGCCTTTGCTCAAATTCAACCTGAGTGGCTTCCTCTGAGACACTAATGATCTGTCACTTGAATTTAGTGTCTACCATGCAGTATTAGCATAACGCTATGTCAGAGTGTTATTTTTCCATATGTAAATTTTTACCTATCAAACTACAGGGCAAGCTCTTCCACTTCAAAGATAAGTCGTTAAAAAGTACATAGTTAAAACATTTGTCCAAACTGTGACACTTCAGAGGATTCTGGCAAGAATGCTAAGACATCAGCAGAGATCAGTGTCATCTGTGACTCACCTTCACCGCCTGACTCTTGGTGTTGATAGGGGGGTTTTTCAGAGCTGCCTGTAGGGCAGCCATCATGTTTCCTGTGATGGAGGTTAAGGGGATAGCAGCAAAGGGCAGACCTCGGGAAAGCATTATAACCACCAGGAACCACTGGTTCTTAAGACTTGACTTTATGCACAGAAAGAAAAATTCCTATGGTCCCTATGTTCAATATTGGAAAATTCAACAAGTTGGTTTCAAGGATGTCAATCAAAGGTAAAATAGTGAAAACAAAAAGAGAACATTAGAATTTTTTTCATAAAGCAAAGACCCTTTCATCTTTGGTTCTCATTAGCAAATGAACACCTTGATAACCTTTCACTTTCTAGTAAGACTCATGCAAACATTATCTAGAGTGATATTGAAAAAACTCTGAAATATGTATCAGAATTATTAGGCCCCAAAATGAAACAGCCTATCCACAAACAAAATATGTCTTTTTATGTGATTCTAAGCAGAAAAATAAAGGCTAAACTTTTATTAGAGATATAGTCTATATTAATTGAAATGCTGGCAGAGTAGCAATCTGAATAACATATATTAGCAATCTGTCAATATTCATGAAGATACAATAATTCAATGACCTTTAGGTGGCAACTTAATTTTGTTTTGGATATTTTCTCTCATTATTTCATAAAGGTCATTCAAACTGTCTTAGGCCATACTTATTAAATTTACTCTCTCTTTGAAAGCACCAGTGAGCCAGCAAGTACGAGACACAGAAGGCCAATCAGAATGTCAGAATGTACAGTCATTCCCCTAAAAGGAAAACCACACGGAGTTCATTTGTTCCTCCATCTGTAGTGCCTGACCAGAGCTTGTCTCTTCTGGTTGTACCAAGAGCAGAAGAGACAGTATCTCTATATTTTAAGATGAACTGATACAAAAAGCAGATCTCCTATATGCACACAGCAGCACTATTTAAGAGTCAGAACACAGCACCTAAAATAAGCTAGTTTCACAAAACATCATTTACCCGTCAAAGGATGTTTTTAGACAGAATAATGTTCATCAATTATGTTCTGAAGAAAAAGGTCTCAGGAAAAAACCTACAGTTGGTGGTAAGCTATTATTTTCAAGCCTTGATGGACGTATGGAAACGCATGCCTTTTGTAGACTGGCTCATTTTAAAGATCCAAAACACTTCAGCATGTAAATGATGCAAAATAGCAACAGCTGATTGTGAAAGTTGTGGCAATCAAAGAAACATCTGTATGTTGATAAATGTTTAATGCTGTATTTTAGGTGCCTTTAAGACCAGATATAGTTGCTACCAAATATTTTCACTCATGTATTTCCCCATTATAATAGGACATTGATGAAGAAAGAGTCTAAAAAGCCTTCCTTATCTTATGAATACACCCAAGAAAAATTAGAAACGAGTGAATTCAGTAATTGAGAATCTCTAAAACTACAGCTTGGGTTATCGCAACATTTACACTTTTCTAAAAAAGATCTGATGCAAATACTGTTATGAATATTCAAATATGCAAAACCAAAACCCAGGAACTGACAGCCACGTTTTAACTAAAATGGAAATAACTTCAGGATTACAAAAATGATCCTGCTTTGTACAAATGACTCATCTTCTATTTTATTCATTGGGGTTTATTTTAAATACTTTCAAGGATTCTCCACATGCATTCCCCCTCTTTTCTCTATTGTTCTTTGCTGAGCAGGTAAAGGCTCCAAGCTTGCTTCATGGGAGTTCTGGTTGTTTTGGACTCACTCCTGTTCCACCGTTAACAAATACTGGGCAACCTATATTGTGTCACATCCCTTTCTCTTAAAAAAAAAAAAAAAAGAACGAGCCCACGGGCGGAAAGGACACAGGGCCTCAATTCTGCAAACCGCCCCTTGTCTACCGGCAAGAAATGAACTACCCTAATGCCACCAGTACAAAACTACAATAGCAACAAAAACAAAATCCTAAAGAAAGACGCCCGCTCTTCCCAATCAGAAATCTCTGGAGCTAGCGGGACCCCAGTAAACGCCGTTCTGGGGAGGAAAACTCAGGCGCCCTGCAACAGCCCACTGAACAGCCCAGACGCTGCCCCAGCGCGGAGGGCGCGGCCGCCGAGCCCCCTCCCGGGAGGCAGGAACTCCGGGCGCCACCTGAAGAATCACGGCGGGAAAGGCGCGCGGGGCACGGCACGGTCCCGAGGGCTGGACCCTGGGGTCTCGGGGCTACTCGCTTAGAAATGGGAGAGCCCCCTGCCTTCTTGCAATAGGGAACCCCAAAGAGACAGGTTCGAACCGCGCGGGCCGCCGGGGGCAGCTCGGCGCCAGTCCCCGGGAAGGGCCGTCCCCCTCGGACCCTGCAGGCGGCGGGGTCCCGGGACCAGGGCCGCGAGGGATGGGGAGGCGGGAACGCAAGGATATTGCCGCAGGCAGGAGTCCACCTCGCCCTCGTCGGGCCCGGCCTGCCCGTCGCCCCCGTCTTCCTCGTCCACGAACTTGTTCTCGTCGTACTCATCCACGTCCACCTTCCGGAACCGGGCCGACGACACCGTGTTCTTCGACATCCCCGATCCGGACCGGGGGCAACGGCCTCCTCTCGATGCTGCCTCTGCCTCAGCAAGCCCACCGTGATAGGCACCCACAGCCCGGCGCCTTCACTTCCCTCTTCCGCTCTGGGGCGTAGCCGGCAGGCGCGGCTCGGCGGCTCTGGGCCTGCGCGCTGGCCCCGCTCCTTCCTCCTCGGCTTCTCGCTCTCCTCCAGCCTCCCACGCCGCCTCCACTCCCCTCGGGGGAGCGCGCGCGACGGAGGTGGCGCGGCGCACCCAGTGCGCAGGCGCGAACTCTCCGCAGGAAAGGGGCGGGGTGGGGAGAAGGAGGCGGGGGCGGGAGGGGCGGGACAGGAGGGAGGGCAGAAAGTGGTGCCGCGGGCGGAGGTAAGAGGCGATTGGTTGTCCAAGGGCGTCACGTGATCCCGGGGGTTTCCATAGAAACGCTTCTCTGCGGTCCAGTCCCGGGGGCCTTAGGTTGCTGGCGATGGGCACTGGGGGCTGGAGGCCTTGGCTTTTGCTGCTGCTGCCGCCGCCAACGACCTGTCATCGGGGTCCTGCGTAAGGGCCGGCTGGCCCGGACTTGCCTGTGGGGTGGGATGGACTGGTTGCCGGACCAAGTCCCCTGCAGTTGGCAGGAGTATGGGGCGGAGTGATGCACGCCCGAGCGTCCAGCATCGTTCTAGTTGTCAGAGACATCGCTTCGGACCGTGCGCTGCCGGTGGCTGCGTTCCCGAGCCGGGAGCCTCTTTCCCGGGGTTGGAACTACGCTGCGCGGCCAGTGGGAGGTCCCCAAGGACGGAGTCGAAAGGTCATATCTTATCTGTCAGTGCTGTGTGACAGCATCGCGACGGCACCTGCAGAACCTGAACAACTAGGTATCATATCCATTGGGAGGGAGGGGGAGGTGTCTGTGCGGGGGCTGGGGTCGGCTGGCAAAACTGGGGTGAACCTGTGGAATTTGGGGTAGGACCAATCATTGACGTCTTAAAATAAGTGGTTGTTTGCAGCAAGAATGCTAGAAAAGGGTAGGGGCGAGTTATGCTTCCCGGTGCTGAGAGGAAACAAAATGTGTCAGGATTAGTAAAAAGCAGACGTTTAAGATTTATATTTGTAATTCAGGATTTATAGATCCCGCTAGGCCAGTTTTTAAAATTATATTTGACATTCCAATTTCTAAGAGCAAAGCTCTTGAGGAAGTCAAGGCACTAAGACTAAGGAAATGTTAGTTGTGCTGTGGGCATAACACTGAAGTACAAATATTTTCTGAGTAAAATTAATTTGGACATTTGGCTGGACACTGCTCAGATGGCTTTATGTTATCCTCACTTCCTGTCAGATCTAGTTTAATGCCACCTCTAGCAGAAGGCCAGCTGTTGCCCTGGTAAGTACCCCAGTCCTTGGTTTCCTGTGCTTGAGTCTTGACTCTTCCACTCATAATCTATTTGATTGAGGCATACCACTTCAAATTCTGAATCTCCGATTCCTCATTACTAAAGTGGGGCTAATAATGTGTACTTCACAAGATTGTTCTGAGGATTAAATACAGGGAGTGTTTTGAAGCTCTAAAATTCTACATAAATCTAAATGCTTATTACCTGTGCCATTGATTTTGGCACTAGGCTTATAAATTATTTAATGATATATGGTATTTCATCTTGCCCCTAGAAGAGATCGAAAGATTCTGGAGGGCAGAGACTGTCATATTTTTCTTTTTGCATCTTCCTTTACATCCGAACATAAAGCTAAGCATGTGGAAGGTACTCAACACATTCAAGTACTCAATTATTCATTGAAGAATGAATAAAATGTGAAAGGCAGTACAGTTTGAGAGTCACGCTGAGAATAATGAATCAATAAGAAAAAGGAAGAGAGATCTCCAAATCAAACCTTTGTTGGACATATATGCATGCATAAGTATATATCTATATCAATAGGTATATCAATATGTATATCTATATATCTATATCAATATGGGTGCACAGAGAGAGAGAGAGACCCCTCAGGAATGACATGCACCCTTTTTTCTTAGGAGGATGAAGCAATATGGCATTTTTCTTTTCCCAGTTAAATCACTCTTCTAAAAGATGTATCATTAGGTGATAGAAGTGACATTTCTTTAAATTAGCATTCAAGTTATGAGCAAAAACATGGTAAACCTCCCCAAGGACTGTCTTAAGACAGCAAAGGAAAATTTTCTACCTGTTGGTAATATTTATTTTAAAAAGTCATATAGCAAAGTATCAGATCATTACTATGGTGAATGGCATTATATAACTTAGAATAAAGATTGGTTTTAGTATTTTTTTCTCGGTTTCAATGTTTTGCTAACTTTGTAAGAGCTAAACAACACAGTTGTTTAGGTGCTAAAGATGATTGTACTTTTTGTTCTCCTGAATCAAGATTTTCTTTGAAGAGAAGATTGAACATTAGAAGCGCCATTAAGAGCAAATGGAAACAAGGATTCAAGAGCTAATACATCCCTTCTCTTACATTTCTATTCTTTTGTATTAGGTCTTATTTAGGAAATTTCTTTAATCATTTATTTTAGAACTGGGAGAGAATCCTGGGATAGAAATCAACTTAAAACAATAGTGAGGGGAATTTAAAAAATCGAGCTGCTCAAGGGTATAATTGTTTTGATTGCTCAGAATTTTCCTTTATATGTTGAATGTGTTAAATGTAATTCTCAGCCACATAATGCATATTACATTTGAGATGTAATATTGTCGAAAGTGTCCTTTTCCGATTGCAATATTCTTTGTCTCACAATGATAAGTATCTAGTACTTAGTAGGTACCCAACACATTTCTATCCAGTAAATTAATAATCTGACAAGTTAATTTTAGAATCATATTTAGAGATTGAGTATTTTTTAATGGACACATTAATTACCTCCTTACCCCCATTAGCTAAAGTTGAAATCTTTATAGAGCTTTGGGGAGATTTGTGTGTGTGTGTGTGTGTGTGTGTGTGTGTAGAAACCTGTCCTTAATCATCTTTTAGTTAGAAAATACACATTATTCCATTTTCTTGCAAATTTCAAATTTGCAATTGTAATCTTGGTACTTAATTCATTTTAGGTAATATTATTCTCCCTATTTTAATTTTCCAAATAAGTGCTTACCCTGAAATAAAGGATCCAAAAGGTTTTAAACGTTTTATTTATTGTGTGAATAACCTGGTTTGGTTCCATTCTAAAGTAAGACTGAATCGGAATTTTCTCAAGGTTAATGCTACATGATAGTATGTAGCTCCCTATTTTCTGTGACGATGCAAAGAGTGAAGGGTCTTTCTGGTTAGAAAGGATTTTGATAAAACCATCATATAATGGGTCATTCTTTTCAGGTATTTTAAACCAAGTACTCTACCTACTATGTGCTTCTTTTCTCCAGACTTGCCACTAATTACTTAAAAAACGAATTAAGACATTGACTCCTCCAGCATGGCACTGTTGTTTTTATTTGAAATGGAAGTGAACCCAGTGTTAATCAAATATGTCAAACGTATTATTAATGTAAAATAAACAAGTAAATTTCAGTTGTAGTAATGATGATTTAATACCACTATTCTCTAGCAACATAATTACTACAATATAAAAAGATTTTTTAGCATGTTATCCATGGACTATATTACGGTTTTTATGCTTCTACTTAATATCCAAATCAACTGGTTCTGTGTTGAAACAACCAACCTTCAAAACTTCCAGCGTTTTTCTTTTTGGTGAGGAAGATTAGCCCTGAGCTAACATCTGTTGCCAATCTTCCTCTTTTTGCTGAGGAAGATTGTCCCTGAGCTAACATCTCTGCCCATCTTCCTCTATTTTGTATGTGGGATGCCGCTGTAGCATGGCTCGATGAGCGGTACGTAGATCCGAACCTGCGATCACGGGCTGCCGAAGTGGACTACGCGAACTTAACCACTACACCACTGGGCTAGCCCAAAACTTCCATTTTTTTTGTGATTAACTTTAGCTTTACATAACTTTATGATTACACACTGAAGTAGAGTAGGTAGAGTGAACTATTTTACAATGGGACCTTTATTTATTTACATATTAGTACTTCAAAGATTAAAAAAGTGTTTAATCTGTACTCTTGTCTCAGGAAAAGAGTTTAGTGCTAAATGAAAGAATAAACCTTGTTTTTAAAACATTGTTGTGAATGAGACTTTTTTCTATTTAGTTTTTTTACCTGCTTATGATAATGTAAAGGGAAACTATAGATTTTAAAATTTATTTTTCCTGTATTCTCTCCCATTACTGGGATCTCTTATTAATGCTAATAAGTTGTTTTAAGGTTACATTTCTTGTCATAGTGTGCAATTATAACGTCTGAGAGGATGATTATTTACATCATCTTTTCCAATATTATATCATTTTTATTTATTTTTCTTGTCTTACTGCATTAGCTAGATTCTCAAAAACAGTGTGGAAAAGTTGAGTGATAGTAAGCTGTTCTGTGTTTCTGTGTTCTGTGTTTCTGTGTCTCTGTTTTAATGGAAATATCTTTGGTATTTCACTAGTTTATGTTTCTTGTTGCTTTTTGATCTTTAGGAATGACTACTGAAATTATCAAATGCTTTTTTGGGGGATTTAATGATAAAAATCATATAGTTCTTGATCTTTTAATTTATGAATGTAATGAATTATATTTATGTATTTTTCTGCACTGAACCATTCCCACGTTTCTAGAATAAACTCTATTTGGTTACTGTTTTAATTACTTGCTAGATTTGATTAGTTTATGTTTTGTTTACATGATTTCAGAATCCATATTTATTAGTAAGATTGGTCCATTGTTTTATTCTTTGTGCTATCTTTATCTGGTTTTGATATTAAGCTTAGTCTAGCTTTGTAAGATGAATTGAGAAGATTTGCATCTTTGTTTCCTATACTATAGAATAGTTTGAATAACAGAAAATTACTGTGCTATTTTTTCTTTGAAAGTTACAGAATGTGCTTGCAAAATTATCTGGGTTTGCTCATATTTTTAGAGGTAGATCTTTGATCATCTTTATCTTCTGTGGTTGGTGACTTGCATTTCATGTAGATTGCCAACTTATTGGCAAGAAGTTGCACAAAATATTTTCTTATAATTATTTTAATATTTTTCATGGCCATGGAAAAATATTACTTTTCTCATTACACTGTTAACTATTTAAGCAAAATATTAAAATTGACATTTTTTCTTTTTTCTCTTCCTAACCTGATTGTCACAAATTCTAGTAGCATGTTTTTATTTCTTATAGAAAATAGCCATCACAGATTCATAGTTTTGATAAAAGTTGAAAGATCCTACAATTCCTATCCTTTTCTACTGTCTCTTCTTATCCTATTAGTATTTTATTAATAACAGTAACCACTTGAGCATTTATTGTATGTTAAACACTTGGTAAATAAGCCCTTTACTTCCATTATTTAATCCTCAGAGTAGCTCTAGGGCCTAGGAATTAGTGTTCCCATTTTACGGATGAGAAACCTAGAACTCGGAAAAGTTATGTAACTCAGCCAACCATACTTAACTGGCAAGGAGCAGACCGGGGTGGGAATTAGGTCCGTCAGATTCCAAAGCCCGTGCTTTTAATCACCACTGCCCAATTCCAGTAAGTCTTTCTCATTATTCCCAACTATAGTACTTACCTTTGTGCTAAAAATAAGGATATCACTAAATACCAAGGGTCTAAATAAACCCACACGATAGTTTGAAATGACCTATAAATAATGAAATTAAAAAGTCTCGTTATTGTAATGATTTTTTGAAGTCTCTTTGTTTTTCAGATATTTCTGTGACCTTTTCCCACCTTATCTCAGTTTTTTGAGACTAGACATAAAGCCTATTCCCTAATGTTTAGTCTACCACAAAAGATAGCACTTTTTTTGGTGTATGGAGAGATCAGTGTGGGTTGATTAATAATTCCTCTTAGTTAAAAAAAAAATTGTGGCAGGGGCTGGCCCCGTGGCTGAGTGGTTAAGTTCGCGCGCTCCGCTGCAGGCGGCCCAGTGTTTCGTTAGTTCGAATCCTGGGCGCGGACATGGCACTGCTCATCAGACCACGCTGAGGCAGCGTCCCACATGCCACAACTAGAAGAACCCACAACGAAGAATACACAACTATGTACCGGGGGGCTTTGGGGAGAAAAAGGAAAAAATAAAATCTTTAAAAAAAAAAAAAAATTGTGGCAGAATACACGTATCATAAAATTTGCCATCTTAACCATTTTTAAGTGTGCAGTTAAGTACTATTAAACCCATTCACACAACATCACCACCATCCAACCATCACCACCATCCAAGTCCAGACCTCTTTTTATCTTGCAAAACTGAGACTCTGTACCCATTAAACAATTACTCCCCATCCCCCCTCTCCCCAGCCCCTGGCAACCACCATTTTACTTTCTGTCTCTATAAATTTGGCGTACCTTATGATAAATTCTAGGTACCTTATATAAATGGAATCATACATTATTTGTCTTTTTGTGACTGGCTTATTTCACTTAGCTTGATGTCCTCAAGGTTCATCCATGTCGTAGCATGTGTCAGAATTTCCTTCCTTTTTAAGGCTGAATAATATTCCGCTGTATTTATGTACCACATTTTCTTTTTCCATTCATCCATTGATGGACACTTGGGTTACTTCCACCTTTTGGCTATTTTGAGTAATGCTGCTGTGAATATGGGGGTACAAATATCTCTTTGAGACTCTATTTTCAGTTCTTTTGGATGTATACCCAGACATGGTATTGCTGGGTCATATAGTAATTCTCTCTTTTTTTTGAGGAACCAATTCCACTCAATTAACTAAATAGGGCAATAAAGCAATGTTCCATTGCTTCAGATACATCCCTGAGAGTCAGGTAAAATAACCCCAGGGCTTCTGTTTAGTATGAGGTCCTGGGTAACAGGGAGTCGGGGTGGGAAGAGGGCCACAACTCTGGGATCTAGAACCTACTTAAGTTCTCCCCACTAGCCCACCCAGCCGAGCTGGCTCCCATAGACTAGAGGATGCCATTGGTACAGTGGTTTGGGCAGAATTACAGAAAAGCCTCAGGACTGGTTCTAAGTGGATGGTGATTTTCCCAGGCTTTGTAGGGCGTCCACATTGTTGTTATTTTGAGAGGCATTAAAGCATCGTGATTAGGAACATGGGTTCCGGAGCTAGACCTCCTGGGTCTAACTCTCAACTCAGCCTTTACTACTTGGGCAGTTAACTTAAGGTCTCTGTGCCACAATTTCTTTATTTGTCAAATAGTTGTTATAATAATATCTACTTCATTTGATTACTGGGAGGATTAAATGAGTTAATATTTGTAAGTGCTTACAAAAGTACGTGACATATAGCTCTCACTAAATGTTAGGTAGTAATAATATTATTTTTAATTAGTATAAATTACCATGTGGCTTTCCTTAAAAAATTGCACCGTGACTCAAAGAAGATACATAATGGCAGTTTAAAGAGATAAGATTTGCTCTCAGGCCCGCAGGATTAGATGGTAGTTTGATGAAACATTCACATCTAAAGAAAATTGATGCTAGTCATGATAGGAATTGGTTATAGAGGTTCAGGTTATCTCTTCCAGTCTTGGCCCACCTAAACACTGTCCAAGGGGTGGGTGCCCTTGTGCATGCCCCACCATCCCATACCAGTGGCAGATGTCTGCTCCTGCTCCAATAAGCAGAGTGTGATAGAATTAAACATTGGACTCACAGAATGAACCCCTCTACTCCATAAAGCCATCTTCTGATTATAATTTGGTTTCTCCTGTAGTTTATTTACATGGAGAGGCCATACAGGCTGGAAGACTTGAATATCTGGTTGCATTTCCAGTTGTAAGTCTCACTGGAAATCAACACATTAACTTTCTGCTTTTACATGTTAGTGTCGGGAGCTCTGTTAATCCACATCTGCCCCTGTTTAATAAATCCATTTTGAAAAAAAGAAAAATCCATTCTTTCTGTATTGACTAAGTAGGTATTTGAGGCTACAAAGCTGAAAGCCAAATCCTGGACCATGGCAGATTCACTAAGGTAATGTTCCCCTCCCACTCCCCTCATCAGTTTCTTGGGATATATCCCCCTGCCTTTTTTTTTTTTTGATGAGGAAGATTAGCCCTAAGCTAACATCTGTTCCAATATTCCTCTATTTTCTGTATGTGGGATGCCTCCACAGCATGGCTAATGAGTGGAGTATGTCTTCGCCCAGGATCCAAACCCCACGAACCCAGGCTGCCAAAGCTGAGTGCATGGAACTTTAACCACTTGACCAGAGGATGGGCTCCCCTGCCTCCCCACCTCCCCCCAGCCACCTTTTTTAGATCACCTCACCACTAGCTGCTTCAATTTATTGGCTTCTATTTTCTTTTAATTTATTGGCTTTTAAATTCTTTGAAATTTCCATATGTTCAGTGGCAGTGATAATTCTTCAAAACTGCCATTGCCAGTTTGCCAAAGAGAGCTGGAGCGTTCCAACTTCTGCTCTCCCGGCCAGGAACCCATTGTACCCATTGTATGGTGAGCAGGAAGTCCTGACCACTGCACCGTCAGAGGTCCCTCTGGAACTATTGCTCTGCTATATGCCATCTTAGAGCAGATAGAGGTGAAAGGAAACTTAAAGATGAGCTAGCTCATATCTCTTGTTTTTACAAATGAGAAAATAGAGTCTACTTGCCTAGGGCCATATATCTTTATGCTCTCTTAACAGTCTCTTGTCCAAGGCTTGGCTGTATTAGCCTGGCGACAGGACCTGTCAGTAATGTTCTTCCTAGCCCCAGTCTTATTTAACCAGTAAAAAATTCAACTGCCAGGGGCACTTTTCTTTCTGATGGTTCTGGCGACATTTCTCTCTTTGATAATACCATTGCCATCCAGGTTCATATTTGAAATACAAATTCATCATAGATTTCAGACTATGTTTCTAATGGGTCCTTTGAAACCTGATTGAAGTTGTCATCTTTTTGACCACTTGGAGATAGATTTCATGGCAACTAGTTGGATCTACTTTTTATAATGATCAGGGATGCTAAATTTGTCGTGTTGGGGTCTTTTTTTTTTTTAACTCTAAGTCGCAAATTGTAGACATATTATTTCATGATCTAATAATAGACTTCAACCTCATTAAATAATAATCACTATATGCCCACAGCACAATTATATTCCAATAATTCTGTAAAAATTTTCAGGTCATCAATAGAAATTCCTTTAAAAATTTTATTCATGTTTATTTTAATCACAATAGAAACTTCTATTCTAAATATTTTTCTTTTCTGTTTTTCTTTCCTTCCTCCTCCTCCTTCCGCATGGAGTATTATGTCCTTTAAGTTTTTTGTTCTAATGGCAAAACTATCTTATTAGCGTAACATTACTTTTTGCATATGTTAAGAAAAAATTTAGTAGCAAGTTACAAATGAACGTACATTTTTCTTGTAATGCATTTTTACATATTTCCAGGAGAGAAGTGAGGCCACAAATGTGAATTAATTAAACATAAGCAAAGTGCTTCAATGTACATGCTCAGAGGGTTAGTTAAGGAACACTTCCTGGAAGTGTGTTTTGAACAAGATTTTAAGAGAAGCCATAGATATGCGCTGGTGAAAAAGAAGGGGTCAGAGAAAAAAAAGAAGTGAAACATACAAATTATGCTTTGCGGAGCTATATAAGAAGAAGGGGGAGTGGATGCCAACAACAAAAAAATGTGCTTTGCAAGATGGTTAAGCAGGCACTTGGCTGGAATGGAGGAAGGATGTTGAGGAGTAGTGACTGGTGAAGTTACTGGGATGTAGTTTCACAACCTTGCTACCCACATCTTGCCTGGATACTCTGCTAGATCCTAAGGGAAAACCAAAGAGGAAGAGACAGTGCTTGACCTATAGAAACTTACAGTCTTGCTAATGAGACAGGGCCCCAGGAAGGCCGAGAAGGAGCCTTGAAAGCCAGTAAGAAGGGCTTGCGTTTTGTATGGTGTGTGAAGGGAGGAGCCTCTGGAGATTCTCATGTGTCATCCTGCCTCCATCGTCTGCTCAGGAGGGAGAGGTCTGAGCTGGGAAAGATCAAACTGAGCAGGTGGCTAGGTTTCAAAACTCAATTTTTGTAGCTGTATCTAATCAATTAGCAGAAGGGCTTTTTCCCCACACAAAACTATTTTGAACCACTTTAGAAAAAATGGGCTGCCTAAAATTGTCTGTCCACGATTAACAATTAATGGAAAATCACTGGTTTGCTTTCACAAACAGCACTTAATGTCAGTAACTTCAGGCTGTTTTCCAATTTTACAGTAAATTTTTATCCTGAAACCAATTTAGGAAGCTATGTAGTCCATGGGCTTTTTTAGTGGAAAGGTGATATGGGTAGATTAGAATAATGACATTCCTTTTCCACACCAAAGTATTAGCAAGGTACTAATGACTCCATTTTGATACTGTCACTTTCAAAATAAAGGAGAGAGATCAAGTTGCTTATGGAAGCATTTTGGGTTATGTTAAAAATAGTGTAGCTTTTTGATAGTTGAGATGGTAAATAATTCAGGTTTTGCTCTTAGTATATCAATTTATCTCCATCTTGGATCAGTCCTAAGAGAGAAAGTTTCCAGATTTTTGTTGGCTTTCTAATAAGTCCTCTGGGAGTTATTTGTTCTCTTGTTGTAGGAATGTAGATCTTATTTTTTCCCTTTCTTCTTCTTCTTCTTCTTTTCATCTGCCTCTTTGCTACTTGCAAACTGTTCTGTGATTTCCACTCTTTCCATGGGCCTTCCGATGGGAGGCCTTCCGAGGTCCTTGGTTTCCTGGAATGATATTTGAGGCATATTTAAATGCCTTACAATATTCCTGGGTTTATATGGGTTTTGATCCACATGGATTGGTGGTAGGTCTCTGTAAGGCACCAGCACAAAAACAACAGGAACCCTAAGATCTGGGGTCAGGTTGGGTTGCACTTGTCCACTTGTCACTTGAAAAGACTGTCCGGGAAAGACGTTGTTTAAGGGGTCGCTCCCTAAAGCTTTTATGTTCTGAATCTCTTTCGTCTGGGGAAGAATGTCAGTGAAATAAGGTTTGACTCCTGTTATGGCATTGATTTCATATGCATTGTGCCTGTCAGCCAGTGCTCTCCCAGGCAAAATGGGCTGGAAAACAGTTGGTCCTGAGACACCACTCACAAAGTTGTTGAGGAGGGAATGCCAAATCCCACCACTTATCGGGCTCAAAGTGACCTGTGGCCATAAGCTGGCCAGGCTCCGGAGAGCTTCGCGGTTCCATGCTGAGGCAGGAAATTCAGTCTCAGTATGATACAGCTGAGAGAAGTAAATACTGAGAGTGACATGTGGATACATTATCAGGAAATTGTACATTTTGCTGATGCAGCAGTGGTTAGCTTCATTACAAGGGGAGTTGTTGGAATACAGAATGATATGCCTGATGCTGTCGTTATTGTGTATGGCCGAGTCAAAATAACCATTCAGCTCGAACAGCATTGATTCTGGATGGGTGTTACTCCCAGAGCAACTGCTAGCGTGGCCCTTTTGCACCAGGCTTCCAGAAGTAGTTTTTAGTTCATAAAATGTAAGGTGTTTTGTTTGAGGGTACATTGGCCCATAAGGGAATCCGAAAATCTGATAAAATTCTGTGTAGGGAACTCTTGCTTCTTCACCTGTCCGAATATGGTAAGGACAATTGCAGCAATCTAGAGAGAAGCTTAGCCAGTAATAAGGTTTCACTATTGTTCCACGATTTGCTAGGTATTCCTCATATAAAGGCTCCATTGCTAGTTTTATTGTCTTCTAGCTGCAACCCTAAACGAGAAAGAGAAATTATATGTAAAACCAGTGCAGGAAAAACTAAAGACAATGCATTAATTTATTGAGCTATACTTTTCTTTAAAGGTGGTAGCACAGTAACTACAGTAGCATCTTTATTCTAAAAGATAGTGATATCTATCCATAGGTTAGAAAGCTCAGGATTCATCTTTCTTCATTGAGGCTCCTGGGGAGTGGGGAGGAGACGAAGACAACAGCGTAACCCAGCTTGACCTGTTGCATGGATTCTGAGGCAGTAGAGCAAATGGGTTAGCAGCGCAGATTCTAGAAACAGGCTGCCCTGTTCCAAATCTGGGCTCTGCCACTTACTAGCTTAGTGACTTGTGGCAAGTTTTTTAACATCTGGGAGCCACAGCTTCCTTGTCTGTAAAATGAGGATAAGAAGAGTTCCTACCTCCTAAGATTGACTTGAGGATTGAATGATTGAATAAATATGAAATGCTTTCTTATGTGCCCAACACATATTAAAGACTCAATACATATTAGCTCTTGGTAGTATTGGTGGAAATCCCCGGGTTATCTAGATGATTCTTGTTTGTGAAAGCCCAAAGAAATCAGCAGGGCTTTTGCATTTTGTTCACAGTGTTCTTCCTTGGTCCCTTTGCTGGATATGATAGTATCTAATGTATTGCACAGAGGTTTTGAGTGTGCTTGCATTTAAATCAGCTATTTCTTCAAATCATTGGCAATAAGTTGGAGGTGGTTATCCTTTTGGGAATAGGATCGTGGGGTCTATTTTGCTTAAGGCACTTTTGTAGAAGTGCCACTGGAGTATTCTTTGGGTGGTGAACTCATTCACTGACATTTGAGCGTTTTATCTCCAGTGGGTGGGTCTTATAAGAACATTTTGGAAACTTTGTTATTCTGGAAAGCAAATATCGTTCTCAGGATATTTTGAATAAATAGAGTCTGGGATGTTAAACCCAAAAAGTTGAGATCTTTAAGTAATGATTTTTTCTTTAAAAAATATTTCTTTAGTTATCATTGTTCCCAAGCAGCAACCTAGGTCTTTTTTTTTTTTTAAGATTTTATTTTTCCTTTTTCTCCCCAAAGCCCCCTGCTACATAGTTGTATATTTTTAGTTTTAGGTCCTTCTAGTTGTGGCACGTGGGACACCGCCTCAGCGTGGCCTGATGAGCAGTGCCATGTCCTCGCCCAGGAATCAAACCAGTGAAACTCTGGGCTGTGGCAGCGGAGCGTACGAACTTAACCACTCGGCCACGGGGCCAGCCCCAACCTAGGTCCTTATAATGTAGTTTTAAAAACATTTTAAGATAACTCTTTATTATACAAGTTTTACATGTTTCTTGTAGAATATTTTTTAAAATACTGCTACATAAAGGAAAAAATAAAAACTCATGCCAGTTTGTATCGGTTTACATTCCCATCACTAAGTCTGTTCCCTCCAGTCTTTTTGCTAGGTATGTTTGTTATGCACAACATAAATAAAATCATGTTCTATACTTTGATTTTTCCCTTAGTATTATATCATGAGCATTTTTCTGTTATTAAAAATTCTTCAAAAGACACAACATTTATGGCTAATTAATGTTTTATTACATTACTATAACATTTAGATTCTTGCTTCTTTTTTGTTATAAATAACACTTTGATGCACATTTCCATACATAAATCATGTCTCTGATATGAATTTTCTTTAATGTAGATTGCTAGAAGTGGTATTATTGGATCAAACTGTGTCAGATTGCTTCCTAGGAAGGTGTACCAGTTTTATCATGTTCTCTCCCGGTGTTGTTTGTCACCCACTTTGCCAATCTGAGAAGTGAGCATAAGTATCTCTTTGTGGTTATAATTTGTACCTTTTCAATTCCTAGGGAGGCTGAACACTTTTTCACATGCTTGTTGGTCTGTAGTATTTATTCTTCTGTGAAATATATGTGATCCCTTATCATTTTTTTGTTTGGGGTTTTCCTGATTGATTTGCAAGAACTCTTTATGTATCAAGAATATTAGCTGTCATATTTGTTGTAAATATTTTGTAAAGTATTTGTTTATAGAGTCTTTTAATTATGCAGATGGTATTTTCAATTATACCAAATTTTACATTTTTATGTGGTCTAATCTTTACCCTTATGATTTATTTTTACTATTGTATTTAGAAAAGACTTCCTCATCAAAGATGAATTAAGTAGTCCCCATATCTTCTCCTAGTATGTATGATTTCAGTTTTTACATTTAGCTTTTTGTCCAGGCAGCAAAACGGACAAGGCATAAAATTTAAAAGAGATAAACTAACCATTGCAACAAAATGTATTTTTCACTTTTCAAAATCTAATTTATCATTTCAGAAGTATTTATTACCGCCTCTCATATGGAAGCGTTTGATCAACTTCTGTCTTCCTCACCCCAGAGCACCCCAATCATTGCTGCGTTTGATGCAGCCTGATCTCCAGGCTGAAACCTGCAAGTCCCTTTGCTAATCCTGTCCTGGGCAGAAAATATTTTAGAAGCCTCAGTCCAGCTGTAGATGGAATATGACTTTATGCGTGTCACCACTGTCCAAGTGGCAAATAGCTGTGCAGTAACTCTGGGCACCACATACCTATCAAATTCCAGATTTCTCCTAACCTCTGTCACGTCAGCTTAGTCTATAGGATTGGGCGTTTACCTCAGTTTCCTCCTTAGTGCTATAATTTCCTGATGCAACTGAATTCCTGCCCTAAGGCTTCCTAGACCTTGCATAGCTTTTCCTTGGGGCCCTGCACTCTTTTTCTGCTTAACCCTTGCAGTGGACTGATCACCTGAAACCTGACACCATCTCCTGCTTTATCTTAAGCATTGCCTTCTCCCTGGATCTCCTCTCTCAGCCTTACTCGTCAGACTGGATCTCTCTGAATTTCAAACTTGCTGAAACCAAGCCCAAAGTGTCACTCTCTTTTGAATATTGTGCCCTGGGTATGGTCTGTGTGGGGTGGCACACCTGATACCCAGGTTACTACGCAAATTACAATTTCACGCCACCCATAGAAAATTTACAGATTGATTTGGCTGAAATGTTATGGAAGAAGAACAAGGAGGCCCTTCTTGCCTTTACTTTTTTTGGTGGTTGGGGGGATGGAGTTAGCTATTTATAATGGTCCCAGGATTACCCTTTTGGGAAGTAGAAGTCTTCTGTCTTTCAAGATAAAAGGCAGTATGGAAACTCCCGATTGCTTTTCTAAGCACTCCTTCCTTTGTGCGCCCTCTCCTGCAGCTATTTTAGCCATGAATGGTACATCATTGCTCTAAGGAGATCTTGAGGACTAGCGGCCTTTGCACATAATGGAGGGAGCTGTGGAGTTTCATTCTAACTGATAGCTTTTCATTTTTCAAAACCACCTGTGTTTCCCTGTTAGTGAAGTCCTCCCTTTTCAGAGGGTCTTTCTGGCATCGTTCTTTTATCCCCCTCAACTGAAGGGGAGGTAGGAAAGAACTCTTGCCTCCTCTGAACTCTTACAGAATTTATGGTTTATATCATCAGTTTGTCATTGATCACAGACTATCTTGTATAGTTAACTTTTGGGATTTGTCCTTTCATTCTCCCCTAACAAGGCAGAGATGTGCCCTGTTTATCCCAGGGCCTCCCTCAGGAACTTGATTGGTTCCCAGGCCAGGTTGCCTAAGACTTGTTTCCCCAGCCTCCTGTGCCCGTACCACCCAGTCCTTTCCTTCTGCTTTGTCTGTGCTTGGGAAATGCGTGTTGCCCCCCATAGAATAGATCTACTGGCAGTAAGAAATAGAGATCTGCGAACCCAGCTCCTTGCATCCGGTTGTGAGTGGCCCCTGGACTGTGGCAGTGGGAGGACAGCTTTCCTTAGCTCAACATAAATGAACTGTACGTGAGGACAATATGCTCTCTTTTCACCCAGCTAGGATTTAGTGCGTACTGTAAAGCACAGTTTGCACTGGAGTAATTGGAGAATGGCGTTCGCCCTTCCCAATCTGTGCGCAATCTGTTAGCATCTAAAAACAAATGTTAGCAGTTATAATTACCATCACTTTGTCTCCAGGCTTGGATCGCATTCCAGGTGTTCCAGGAGATGGTCCATTTCCTTTTTTTCCTCCTTTAAGTCCCACGCCCTGTGTCAAGTCGCTTCAGAGGGCAATTGTGCTGTGAAGATTCACTTCCTATATCAGTTCAGGACTCTTTCTGAACCGTTTGTGTGTGTCAGTTCCTTTGGACTTTGCTGTCCCGAGTTAGAAAGAACTTGCTGAGGTGTGGCTGCCTCTAAGAACACTGTTGAATGGGCGCCATGGTAACGTTCGCAAAGTAGCTACTGCTAGGATACGGCTCTGACACTTATTACTTTATTTGCATTTCAAACCACCTGTTCCAAAGATGAAAATATACATGAATGCATATTCCAGCCTGGATAAAAGCGTAATATCTGACTGTTTAAGTGAATGTGTTGGAGTTTTTCTCTTTCTGGCTGTAAGAATCAAATTCTGGGGTCGTGCTCCTCAGTGCCTTTGTCTGATCTAGAATAGGTGCCAGGCTTGGTGCGTGGACAGGATTTGTTGGTTCTGTTGCCTGTGGAGGCGCCGGGGCCTCTCCTGGGGAGGATCACCCTTTTGTGGGAGGGGGGCCCCGCATGAGAGGTAGCAGAGACTTCACCAAAGAGAGGCGCTGTCTACTAAAAGGCCCACACGTCCTGAAGGGGAGCTCTTCATTTTGTCCAAACCTAGGTTATTAGGCGCCAGCTGTTTCGCTCCTCTTACAAATGCCCTGGGAGACTCTTGCTCTTGATGTGTATGTGGTTCCCTGCAGTTGAAGACAAACTCTGCCCTGGATCAGTTGCAGCCCTTTTGGCCCTTTCTCTGGGGCTGACGGAGGAGCCACTCGTCCTTCTGCATTCCTTTCCCCTGCCGCCCTCATCTCCACCCATCTCCTAGGACAGTAGACAGTTGATAGTCATGATCTGTTGTTTGTGCTCACTCTGGGTTATTCCCTCTTTCCTCTTAGGCCACTTGAAGGAGCGAGGGGTGATCCCTCTTGGGTGTTTTCATTAGTTACCACCCAAAGTTCTTACCATATATACTACTCTAAAAATAACCCATCAGGGTGATGGAAGTACCTAGAAGGCTTCCTGCAGCAGCTCACAACCTTTAACTTGTTTCTTGGACTTAAAATTCCAGTCTCTCCAACAGCCACAGTCCTGTCTCCTCTAGGGGCTCCTTCTAGCTCAGATATTTTGTGTTGATCTCTGTGGCTTTTAATGGTCTCAAGTGTATTCATCAACTCCTCAGCTGTTTATTTTTCAGTTACATTTTCCTTCATGCTGTCTTCAGTGCATGCTGACTGTCATATCCCATTCCTTCCCCCACCGTTTGCCCCTGATCATGCCTTTGCTGTTTCTGCTCCTTACTGCCATTTTCATAGCGTCTCCTAACTCAATGAACTTGTAAATATAAAACCAAAAGTTGATCCTCAAAGTTCATCTTTTATTTAACCTTAATAAATGATATTCTATTTAAAAATACTACCTTAAAAATACGCGTCTATCCACTAGTATATTTACCGATTGCATTTTAGGATGATTTTAGGGAGAGGCAATCCTAAGTAGCCACCATTTTTTAAAACAGCTCTATTAAGTTATAATTGACAAATAAAAGTTGTGTATATTTAGGGCTTCCACTTGATGTTTTGGTATACTTAAACATTGTGAAAGGATCATGACAATGAAGCTAATTAACATATCCATCACCTCCTTTATCGTTTTTGGACAGTGTGTGTGTGTGAACACTTGGGATTTACTCTTAGCAAATTTCAGGTATACAATACAGTATTGTTAACTGTAGTCGCCATGCTGTACATTAGATTTCCAGAATTTATTCATCTTGCATAACTGAAACTTTGTACCTTTTGACCAACGTCACTGCATTTCCCCTCCCCCCAGCCCCTGGCAACCACCATTCTACTGTACGCTTCTGTGAGCTTGACTATTTTAGATTCCACATGTAAATGACACCATGCAGTATTTGTCTTTCTGTGTCTGGCTTATTTTGCTTGGTATAGTGTCCTCCAGGGTCATCCATGTTGCCACAAATGGTAGGATTTCCTTTGTCTTTATTTTAAGGAAGATTAGCCCTGAGCTAACATCCACTGCCAATCCTCCACTTTTTTGCTGAGGAAGCTTGGCCCTAAGCTAACATCTGTGCCCGTCTTCCTCCACTTTATATGTGGGATGCCTGCCACAGCATGCTTGATAAGCGGTGCATAGGTCCGTGCCTGGGACCTAAACTGGCAAACACTGGGTGACCTAAGCGGAGTGTGTGACCCTAATGGCTGTGCCACCGGCCGGCCCCAGGATTTCCTTTTTAAGGGTGAATAATATTCCATTGTATGTATATACTGCATTCATTATATCCATTTATCTATGGATGGTCATTTAGGTGGTCTCCCTATCTTAACTGTTGTGAATGATGCTGCAGTGAATATTGGAGTGCAGATATCTCTTTGAGATCCTGATTTCAGTTCTTTTGGATAAATACCCAGAAGTGACATTGCTGGATGATATGGTAATTCTATTTTTAATTTTTTGAGGAACTGCTAAACTGTTTTCCATAATGGCTGTACCGATTTGCATTCCCACCAATAGTGCACAGGGGTTCCCTTTTCCCACATCCTCACCAACACTCGTTAGCTTTTGTCTTTTCGATAATGGCCATCCTAACAGGTATGAAGTGATATTTCATTGTGGTTTTAATTTGCATTTCCCTGATAAGTCATGGTGCTTGAGCACCTTTTCATGTGCCTGTTGGCTGTTTGTATGTCTTCTTTTGAGAAATGTCTATTCAGGTCCTTTGCCCTTTTTAAAGTCAGATTGATTTTCTTTTGCTGAGTACTTTACATATTTTGGATATTGTGTTTTCTTCTAGTAGTTTTACAGTTTCAGCTTTACATTTAGGTCTTTAATCCATCTTTTTTTTTTTTGAGGAAGATTAGCCCTGAGCTAACATCTGCCACCAATATTTCTCTTTTTGCTGAGGAAGACTGGCCCTGAGCTAATATCCATGCCCATCTTCCTCTATATGTGGGACGTCTGCCACAGAATGGCTTGACAAGCAGTGCGTAGGTCTGCACCTGGGATCTGAACCTGCAAACCCTGGGCCGCTGAAGCAGAATGTGTGAGCTTAACCACTGTGCCACTGGGCCAGCCCCTTTAATCCATTTTTAGTTGATTTTTGTATGTGGTGTGAGATAAGGGTCCAATTTCATTCTTTTGCGTGAACTACCATTTTTTAAGCCACCATATTTTACATCTGTTAGGTGTAGGAAAGCTCCAAAGGAAGGTTGACTTTGCAGAGCTCCATTTAGGTTGCACAGAATGGCTTCTAAAACTGAATTTAGTTACAAGGAAACGAAGGACCATGATCATGGTTCCTGCTCACAATTCTCTTTTTTTTCTTTCTGGGTAATTTGTCATTTATCTATTTATTTTTAAATTATTTTATTGAGGTCATATTGGTTTACAACACTGTGATTTCAAGCGTACATTATATCAGTTTTGTGTATAGACTGCATCGTGCTCACCACCAATAGGCTAGTTTTTACCCGTTACCATACACATGTGCCCCTTTACCTCCTTCACCCCCCTCCCCCCACAATTCTTATTGCTACTTCGGCATTTACAGGAAGGGAGAAACTTTGAAGAAACATCCAGTTTCCCAAACAGACTTCTTCGTTCTGTCTTCATTTATTAACATGCAATGTTTCATCTTCATTCAGATGAGTTATGATGTATATTATGTATATAAATATGCAGTTATTATGAAGAAGTTTTACAAAGGCCAAACTCTCCTACACTGATATAGATTTTTAAAAGACCTTTTCAGTTTGACACTTCAAAAATTGTTTCTAATCTCTGTTCTGGCATCCCCGTTTGGGGTACTGTATCCAAGATAGCTTGGGTGTTGCTAGTTGCCGCATGTAAGGTGACTTTCTCTTTGGGTGGCAAGATGTAAAAGAATTTATATTTTATTGCTAAAATTTTTAACTTTTATTTGAATGTACTGTGTCCAATTAAATATGTAATTCATTGCTTTTGTAGAAGTTTGGTTAGCATTCAATAACAACACCCACATTCATGTAGCAGTAACAAACTACCCAGAAAATGGAAACTGGAGAAGAAAGCAAGCATGAAATAAAGAAGAGCAGAGAATCCAGTAGATTTCACGGAGCTCACTAAGGAGTTAAGTGGGACGGATGGACTAAGATAAATGTTAGGGTTGAGAGGAAAGGGAGACAAAAAAGCAGAGGCTGGATCGCCTAGCTTGGGGGTCATAAGCAGAATGGCCACAGGGTGGCAGCACAGTCTTTGCAGTGGGAAACTTTCTTTTGGCCCACCTGTTAGTTTGCTAAAACCAGACTTTCTCTTAGAATTCCTCCATGTTGGTCTTCCCCATTATCCTAGGGAAACACCCACAAAATGTTTAAAATGAAAAGTAACTCCTAAAACTTCAGCTGAGGAAAAGTGCAGGATGAAGGCACCATCTTTACTCTCAGAGTCTGTATAGATGTTTTAAAAAAGGTTTCAGACTATCTGTGGGGAAGGACTAATTTAAGTTTCCAAACTATTATATACTGGTAACTTTGTAAAATTCAGTGAAAATGATTTTATAGAAAAATGAACAAAAAAGTCATCGAAAATATAAGCCCATTTAAAAATAATTAGTTCAGGGGCTGGCCCTGTGGCTGAGTGGTTAAGTTCACGCGCTCTGCTTTGGTGGCCCAGGGTTTCGCTGGTCCGGATCCTGGGCACAGAAGTGGCACTGCTCATCAAGCCATGCTAAGGTGGCATCCCACATGCCGCAACTAGAAGGACCCACAACTAAAATATACAACTATGTACCAGGGGGCTTTGGGGAGAAAGAGGAAAAATTGAAAAAATCTTTAAAAATAATTAGTTCAACAGATATAAAATTTTTAAATTGCATTTCAATAAATATAAACAGAATGCTTGTCTATTTTTGCTTTTATTGCCTGTCCTTTTGATGTCATAGCCAAGAAATCATTGCCAAGACCGATGTTGTGAAGCTTTTCCCTTATATTTTCCTTTCAGAGTTTTATTGTTTCAGATCTTACATTTAAGTCTTTAATAGATTTTGAGTTGATTTTTGTGTGGTATAAGATAAGGGTCCAGTTTCATTCTTTTGTGTGTGGATATCCAGTTTTCCTAACACCATTTGTTGAAGAGACTATCCTTTCTCCCTTGTGTAGTCTTGGCACTCTTGTCGAAGTTCGGTTGACTGTGG